AGAGAGAGAGAGAGAGAGAGAGAGAGAGAGAGAGAGAGAGAGAGAGAGAGAGAGAGAGAGAGAGAGAGAGAGGGTTGGCAACTATTAGAGGGAGACTTCATCCGAGTTCAGACTTTGACTACATATTGTGGGGTGTTTGCAAAGGGGGGGGGAGTCGGAGTTGAGATTATTATTATCTCGACTTTTACATCCGGGATTTCTGTCCTCTTCTTCCCCATCTTTGGCCTTTTTGTTCTCCTCATCACGAAGGGTTTGTCCCTATGTGCTGGCATGAGCAAGAAGGGGCCTTTCAAAAATCTGTTCTACCCTCCTTGCCACTTGGAGTGATGATGGCGAGTGCATTGTCTGAATGTCGAAGATAGTGTCCCATTGATTCTTGTCAGACTTCTGCTGCATTGCACTTTTTGTTTCCTATTCACTTTGGTAATTCTTGGATCTGTGACATGCCTGTCTGCTGACAGGCAGGTGGCACTAAAGGTAGAATGTAGAAACAGCCTAGACAACGTTCCTTCAGGGTGTTAGATCTGTACCGCATGGGGGCATGCCATGGACGTCCCTGAAAGTGCTGCATAGCTGTTCTCGCTAGCCACGCTAGAACTGATTATGCCATCTCCCTGCAGGTAGCCAATGGAATCGAACGGAAGCAGATAGTGGGAATGAAGAGAGTTAGAATCGTGGGCATTCCAGGCAAGAAATCCTTGGAAAGTTGGAAACAAGGCTGATCATGCTAATACTGCACACACAGTGTGAGAGTTTTTAAGTTTTGACATATTATATCGATCTGTGTGGAGTAATAAATTTTGTACTTTTTCTTAAAAGTGAAACTGGCCTTACAGGTTTTGACTCCATTTCATTCGGAGGACCAACAGCGAAGTTCCTTTTCTTTCCACAGGGAATCATGACAATAAAAAGTGGATAACGCACTCACACTTTCCTGGTGCTACCACTGCAAACTTCGGAAGCTCTTCTTCTCCCTCGACTGACATAATGAACACCAGAAGAGAATCCCGTGTACAGTTAAGACCTCTATTAATCCTATGGAAAATTGACAACCTTGAAGTTCTCACTCCACTCTTCCAAAAAAAAGCAAGGCTGGAACTCCATGCTGCTCATCTCCATTTGTAGAGCTTGGTTTATGCAAATCTGAGGCAGTACCTATGAGGCACCAGCACTTGAAAATGAGAAAGAAGCCTTTGGACTCTTTCGAGTAAGCAATTCCTTTCTTTATCAGCCAATGAAGGATGAACTCCTTCTGTAAAGTGTCTCGCTAGTGTGGCTGCTTTTCAGTGAAACTCTTGCCCCTTCTCTGCTGGCATCTTATCTCTGTCTCCTTTATCGATTTGTCATTGAATTGTGCTTCCATTGTAGAGGAGATGGCCTTGTTATTTGCTTCTCTTTTTTTCTTTTTTTCTTTTTTTGATAAAAAAGGCTAAAAAGGTCCTTTGCAAGGAATATGAGCGAGAGCGATAAACAGAAAACCAAGTTGCAAAATCACGCAGAAGTCCAGATAGTCATGTACCAAGCAGAGAGCTCAAATGCACCAATACTCCATCCAAATAAGAGCGATACAATGAACTCATGAGCCAATGTCCAAGCCCTCAGGCCACACCAACACAGTATCCAATGTCGTTCCTACTGTATGGCGCCCAGCGCCCAGCCTACTCTACTCTGTCTACCTATCCTATCTACATTCGTGCAACAGGCTCACTTTGCCGTCGAAGACCAATGTACATGACGTCAACACCAATGCCGACCTCCCACATACACCAGGTTCGTTCTCTCGTCTCCCTTCATCAAACCCTGTCCACTCACTCATGCGCCTCCTTCCTGAAGACCACTATCGCCCATGACCTGCCCGCACCCCTGCAGCCCGGCTATGGCCACTAAGCACCTCGCTGCCCTGCAGCACCCCACTTCACCGCATAGAGCCCGCACGCGCCCCAGCCAGCAGCGCTAATGCAGACACTCACAGTGTCGCAGCAGTGTGTCCGCATTGCCTACCTAGGCCAGAATGCCAGCCTCTGGCCGGCCTCCTCCCTATATGGGAGTCCCTGCCTTGCTGGGCTGCCTGGGCCTGGCCGAAAAAGTTTCCAGTAGCTTCCGGCCGGTGTCGGGCGGCTGCCTAACAGCCGGATTGTTATGATCCTGACCAATTTCGAGATACACATCCATCAGATAGTACGATGCCGTCCAATTGCAGAAAGAAATGAATGAACTTGAGAGGAGAGAG